CCGGGGACTAGGTGATCGGGACGTGCCCGCACTGGGCCCCAGGCGTGGTGAGACATCCAGAGATGGTGCTTCCTGCTGCGTTTGGCCGGCCCGGTTTATGGCACTACGGGTTTCCAAAGGGCGGGATGTGCAGCGATGGGCCAGGGAGGACCTGTCCAGAGAAGCAGAGGATTCTGGTACGCAGGCCAAAGAAAAGTTAACTTCTAGAAACCCTTCTAGCTTGCTGCTCTAAGACTCAGAGATTTATTTGTATTTCTGGGCAGAGAAGCTCTCATCTGAAACATAAACTCTGATGCAGGAATCTGTCACCTTGTCCCAGAATGTCACATATGCTTTAGGCATTTGGCCTGTGCCCATGAGCTGGGGCAGCGTCGATTGGAGTGTACCACAAAGGCCCTGCCTGCCTTCCTGTTCCTCTTGCAAGAGGTTCCATGAGTACATGGGGCCTTACCTGAGCATGTGGGGCTGCTCAGTAGTGTAAACCTGGAATCTCTAGACTCCACGTTTGACCACTTGTGCTTAAAGGACAAAAGGCCAGAAATGGGCTGATCTGGACCTTACGCTGATTATCCAAGATGTTCACGTTGAAATTAAAGTGCCGTGAATGCTCTAGACACTTGGTCTCTGAGGTGCTGTGCCTTCACTCTGATGTTTGGTGTTTTATAGCTTGACCAGTCTGTTCTGGAAGCACTTCCTCCTGACCTCCGGGAACAAGTTGAGCAAGTGTGTGCCGTTCAGCAGGGAGAGCCACAGGGGGACAGAAGGAAGGAACCAGTCAACGGCTGTGACACAGGGACCCTGCCACAGCCGGTCGGGGCAGTTCTCTTACAAATACCAGAACCTCAGGAATCTGCCAGTGACACAGGAGTCAGTGTCATAGCCCTTCCAGCACTTTCACAGGTGAGCTCAACTTAGGGACCTTCTGCGGTGTAAATCTCTCTAAATCTCTCATCCATCCTGCGCAGCTCGGGCCAGGGGCACTTCTTGTTTTCCTTTGCACCCTGAACTCTCAGTAACTGACACCGTGTCCTGGGGCGGCCGAGGCTTGTCTCCACATCATCTGCAGGACAGACTGACTGAGTGTGGCAGCAGAGGGAAGGGGTGCTTAAAGCTTTTGCTGGGAAGCTAGAAGGCCCACCTGGGCCATGTCGTCGGCGGACAGCCCACCCTGCAGCGGGGTGGTGTGAACCGTGCATGCAGACAGGAAAGCACTGTGAGCTGGAGGTTTAAAAACACGTTTCATATGAGCCTAAATCTTACGCCTTATTCTCACCCTCAACATTGAGGATGTAATGAGCTTTGATATTGAGGGACCTATTATGGATTCATGCAGGCTAGAAAAATTAATTTGAAACAAAATCTATTTTGTGAAAAACATAAACTAGTTGCCATAAGGAGTAAACTCTGGTTTGACTCTGACCCATCTTTTCCGCTAGGTGGACCCTGAGGTGTTCGCTGCCCTTCCTGCTGAGCTTCAGAAGGAGCTGAAAGCAGCATTCGATCACAGACAGAGGCAGGGAGAGCACGCCACTCACCAGCAGCCAGCCAGCAGCACAGCTGGTGAGCCTTGGAAGTGACATGTAACAAACATGAACATGGGGGTACTCAAGGCATTGCCTGTGTAATTACTGTAGCATGTAATGGCCAGTGTCTAAGCTGTCAGTTCCGTTAAGAGCTGTCCATACTGGGGACTGTCTGAAGGAAACAGGTATATACGACGTGGGTCAGTGGGCTAGAGTCCAAGTTGGATTTATTATCTCTGCTTCCTTAAAAACACCATCCTTTACTTAGAGAACCCGTGTACTCTCTGGAAACATTTGTTGAGGGTCTTATGTCTGTCTTTTAGTGCCAAAGAATCCTTCTCTTCAGCTAAAACCAGCAGGAGCGAAAGAAAAGAAAAGAAACAAGAAAAAAAAACCCATCAGCCCCACGAAAAAGGTTCAGAGTCCTTTGAAAAACAGGCTGTTTAGCAGTCCTGCGAAATCTCTGCCAGGGCCCTGCGGGAGCCCCCAGAAGTTAATCAGTGGCTTCCCGAAACAAGAAGGCCCTGCGTGCGAAAACCCCCCGGTACTGTGGAAGTTGTTCAACTTTTGCTTTTACTGTGGTCAGCTCTGAAGTAAGGTAGCTGATAACTCTGTGTAAATACAGCACATTTTGTCATAGCTCACGTTTGTTTTTCTTGACAGGGAGAAGTAACTGCTTCAGCTTCAGGCGAGCCCAGCCTGGCCGACTTGCACGCTGACCTGTCTGGCTGCGCTAGACCACCAGCACCTAACCTCGCGGGCGCTGTCGAGTTTAATGATGTGAAGACCTTGCTTAGAGAATGGATAACGACTATTTCAGGTTGGCCTGGCCTTTGTTAGGTGGCATAAGACCGAGAATCCGTGACCCTGTTACTTGAGAAAATGAACGGATTAAACTAGATTGAACTCATTTTTCTCACTCTAATAAGCCAACCCCACCCTTTTAAAATCTGGGCTTGCTTTGGTAAGTCCCTTCCTGTGGCCCGTTCTTTGGAGGGCTTTAAGTCGGTGATCTGGTTGTAGACAAGCAGTTTTCCCTTGTCCCTGCTGGGTTCTGCCTCCTTTCTCTGTTTCAGAGTCACACTGGTTCCGTCTCATTTACGGTTTCTCCCTTCCCTAGATCCAATGGAGGAAGACATCCTGCAGGTCGTGAAATACTGTACGGATCTGATTGAGGAGAAAGATTTGGAAAAACTGGATCTAGTCATAAAATACATGAAAAGGTACTTTTATCAGAGAAGGGCAAGGGGGGGGGGCATTCACAATGGCTGACTGAAAGGTGCGTGAGCAAGCGTGAACTTTCTGGCGGTGAAAGCCGTTGCGCTGACTGCACTCTTCAGGGTCAGTGAAAAAGGAATGCCCTGTGTTTTAAATCCCAGAGAAAGAGCTGCTGTTTTAAGGCTGACCAAGTAATAAGGTCAAAGCGAGTGTGTTCCCTTCGAGGTTTATGTAATACATGATTAAAACCACAGAAGTACTTTTTTGTGTATTCTGGGATTTTGTTTTTGCTGTAAAACTGTTAAAGCGATCCCTCCGCGAGTGCCGCCTTCCCCAACGTCTCCTTTCCTTTCCCGCCTTCAGGCTGATGCAGCAGTCCGTGGAGTCGGTTTGGAACATGGCGTTTGACTTTATTCTTGACAACGTTCAGGTGGTTTTACAGCAGACTTACGGAAGCACGCTGAAAGTTCCATAAACCGCGAGGGAGCCTGGTGCTCTCCGCTCGCTGGCCCATAAGTGCTTGTGAGGTGTTTGCAAAGTGCATGGTAGTAATGCTCTGAGTTTTTATAATTTTAAATTTCTTTTTAAGCAAGTGTTTTGTACATTTCTTTTCAAAAAGTGCCAAATTTGTCAGTATTGCATGTAAATAATCGTGTTAATTCTTTTACTGTAGCATAGATTCTATTTACAAAAACGTTTGTTTATAAAGTTTTATGGATTTTTACAGTGAAGTGTTTACAGTTGTTTAATAAAGAACTGTATGTATATTTTGTACAGGCTCCTTTTTGTGAATCCTTAAAAAGACTCTAGAAAGCAAATGCTGAACTACTGTTTATTATACTTAAGGGCTTAAAAACCTGCGGGCCACACTGTTACAGGCTCTGTGCTCACCTTTGAAGTTCCTGAGAGGTCCCACACCAGGATCCCATGCGTTCCAAGCAAGGGTAAAGCTTCTGAACAACCTTACATTTCTCCTCCCCAAGCATGAACATAAGTGAATGCTAATAAAATCTTTACATATTTGGAATTAGGACATTACCCCTACACACACATACATTTTAGTTTTTCCTGGGAGAATTTTGTCCCACAGATAGTTTAGAGTGCTTGTCTTTGCCTCTGCTGGCCCTTGAGAAACTTCAATAATGAATAGTACAGATTTTCAAATGTATATAAAATATTCTTCTTTGCTATTCTACCATCACACTTTAAAAATAGAGTTTATAGTTCTTTGCCAGTGAATACTTGCAACTTTTTCTTCAGACACCCCATCTTCAGACACCCCAAAACAGACTTCAGCAGTGTGCTATAAATAGGCAGTCAGCTATCAGAGCTTTGTTAGAAGAATTAACCTCATGATCCGTGTAATTTCTTACGGCAGGGAGAGGAGTCTGGATGCTCAGTGGGGCCCACTCCCCCATCCTTCAGGAAACCCAGACACACTCAGATGGCTACCACAGAGAAGTCCTTAGCTATCTGCAGCCACTTAGAAGCACAAAGCCCAAATATGGTTAATCAATTCCCTATTATTCCCTATTATTGCCAAGTCATCTCATTAGAAAATGTCTGCATGATAGAATCTTCTAGTATAAAAAGGCTTAATGTCAACATGTACGAGGTACACAAAGTAGGACAGTTAATAAAACAGTTCACGTCCCTAGAAGAACGTGCTGCCTGATGTGATGAGCAGCTGTGCTGACAGGGAGCCTCACAGAGCGGGACGGCTCCATGTCTCTCTCTTATTGGTACTTCTGAACTGCAGTGATCGCAATGGACTCTCAGGACTGTACAAGCAGTAAAAAAGCAGCCAGCTACGTCTGACACCATGGTTTCACATCAAGCGGATCAAAGAAACACCAGAATGCCTAATTTTCTATTTTAAAAAATTTCTAAGGGCATATGGCAGAAGGCGGCTGGAAAAATCACTGTGGGAATATGCATAAATAAAGAAGTATTTCTTACATCAAAAAAGTCACAAAATCTGCAGAAGCTTGGTATAATCAAATACTGCAGTACTGATTTAATCAGTATAAAATTGAAAGAGCTTTAGATCTGTAATAAAAATTCCAATTTGGGGGGAGGGCAAACTTTAAAACAGCAGCCGGTAGAGGGTGGGGAAGGAGCGGGCGAGGTTAGCAGGCACATTGGAACTGTGGGACCGTAAGTGACCACTGTCAAACCAGTGTAAGTGTCTTGGTTTCTCATGGAAAACATTTTATACACCTATTTTTTTCCTTCCATACTCTTTAAGTCCATCGGTGTCCAAATAGTCCGTTCCATTTTTGTTGTCTTTTTGTTGGATACTACAACATAATATTGCATTTACTCCATTTCCTGCCCCGGGTGGAAGAATCAGATGATTTCAAATACTTTCTTCAGCTCCACAATAAGCTGCCAGTCACTCTTCTGCATTTCATCTCTGAACCAGTCTTTGAGCGCATCGATGGACTGTCGGCTGATCTGCAATGTCCAGGCACAAATGGTAAACGAGAGAGAATGCTACATCAGTCAACACCCAGCAGAGGAGAGCGTGTGCACCCGTGGTCCGTCACCCAACGCTGCTCAAGTGCTCGCCTGGCTTGTGGGTGGGCAGAGGCACAGTACCCCGTCGGGGGAAGGGCTCCATTAGCCTGGCGTTCACTAGTGCTGCTCTACTTGGGGGAACCTTCCTCAATACAGACCAGGCCGTTCAGAGATGAGCCCTAACGAGGAGCAGAGACCCAGCTGCACGTTAGCACCACAGCCCCCCAGCTGCTGGGGAGCACGACTCTAGTTCCTAACGGCCACTCCTGCTGAGATGCTTACCTTACTGACGAGAATGTCTGTAGCTTCGAAGTGTCTTCCATACATTTTGGGAGATTCTCCAGGGATAGGTTCTATTTTGACACAGACTTCTTGTCCTTTTTTTGCAACATCCACTTGTTTATGGTTTATTTCAATACTCGTTACTATTCCAATATCAACAAACTGTAAAATAAGGACAATAACTATAATGTGTGGAATCGTGCCAGTCACAGGCACTATGAAACAGCTGAAATAAAAACTGGAGCAAAAGAGCCCATTTTAAAAGCGTTGGCTCTGTCGTGTTGGGTTTACCGTGTACAGTCTCTACAATGCCGTGTTCTCGTTGGTAAACTGGGATAACACCACCACATGCCCTGTGCCCTGCGCCACAAGGGTTTAAGGACAAAAGGAGATCGCTGACAGGCTTTGTGAAACTTGAAGTCCAGTGGATTTTTTATTCTGCTCTACCCTTTCCCTTGGCAGGTACCCCATTAAAAGGGAACAGTGGCACAAAGATTCTGAGTGAGGAACGAGCATGGAGTTGTCAGCAAACAGCCACTGTGGCCCACACGGATGAAGTGAGGTGCAGTGAGAAGGGGATGCGTGGGAGGAGATGGGATCTAAGCGGCAGCCAGGGACGGGTCATGTAGGGTCCACGGCCATGGTAAGAACCCTGCATTTTATCCAAAGGATGATGGGAAAAACTCTGAGTGAGTGACATGATGTCAGCTACAGCTTGGGAGAAGAGAGACGAGAGTATAAGGGTGAACGCAGGGATGAAGTTCAGGAGGCCAAAGCCACACCCACATAATTACTACAAACAGGTGTCTCAGCTCAGTCTACTGAAATGGCGTAGACACACAGGCTCAGGAGCCTCAAGTAGTATTGTTCAGATGATTCCTCAATGCCATTTCCACTGAAGGAACCAGGTCTGGGCAAGGAAAGTACTGGATGAACCTGGAGCAGTGTATCTCCCTAGAAAGGAAGGGAATGCCCACAGTGCCATGGGGCAAGGAACCAGTCTGAATGGGCTCCACTAAGTAAATCTGGGGCAATTTGAGTATCAAAAAGAATGATGGTAATGGATTATAACAAAAAAATAAATAAAACCACAGAGTCTATATATAAAAACCCATTGCCGTCAAGCTGATTCCGACTCACAGCGACCCTATAGGACCGAGTAGAACTGCCCCATCGGGTTTCCAAGAAACGGCTGGTGGATCTGAACTGCCGACCTTTGGGTGAGCAGCCGAGCTCTTAATCGCTGCACTGCACCACCAAAGGTCTTGATCGATGCTTAACAGAAGTGGGGAAACCACAGTTTTGCAACCTCCTATGTAATAACAGATGTAGGCAAGGACCACCAACCAGTGGGCACTAAAACCACTGAAGTAAAGGTTGTTGAGAACCAGGATGTTCATGGGACTCACGATGTACCTCACAGAACTTCCTAATGACAAAGGAAGAAGATCTGTCTCCCTAATGGAGAGACTGAGCAGATCGCACATTCCCCAAGTCATCAAATGGGCATCGCCAAGTGAGGACCTGTGTGGTGCAGGAAGTGGCACTCGAGGGCGCCTACGCCATGTCCCCCAGTAATCTCAGCCTCTCTCTAGTCACGAGGAAACAGACAAGTCTAGATTAACAATCCACAAAACAACTGGACTCTTCAGAGAAGGTGGGGAGATGGTTTTCTGATTGAGACAACAACATAACGAAACGCAGTGCACCTTGAACAAACCCTGGAGCTGAGGTGGTGGGTGGACAGCTGGTGGAACGTGCGTGAGAATCGGGGTGTCAGAGGGGACAACAGAATTAATGTGAGTTTTCCTAGGTATGAGGCTGATGCAGAGGGAAGGTACTCGGCTGTTAATTATACTACTGTTGAAACTCTTCCCGAGTCTTGAAACTTTTCAAGATCAAAAAAAAAGGCAGCAAAGCACCTTCAGCCTTCATTAACTGAGGCGCTGATATCAGGTGCTGGGAGTCAACACTGACTAAGGAAAACTGAGGTTCAAGTCACAGAAGGTGTCATCCACCTTCAACCACTATCAGTGAAGAACCCAGATTCTCTCATTATCCAGCATCAGCAGTTGCACCGCAGGGAAAGGGATCCTCCACAATCCAGGGCGGCAGTAAGTGTGAATGCATCACGGGGCAACGGGAATGGCGAGGTGGTCTCGGAAACCAGGTTTCCTCTTCTGTAAAACGTACATTATTGTCGGGAAATGAACATGGGATGGAGGTAAGACAGGAACACCGATGTTTAGTGAGCATCAGTAAACACTTTCCACAGTGGTTCTCCGTCTTGACCATGTGCTAGGATCACCGGGAAGGCACGCGAAAACCAGACTGCTCAGTAGGCCTGGGCTGGGGCCTGAGAACCTGCATTTCTAGCAAGCTGACGCTCCTGGCCTTGCGCCACCCTCTGAGAGCCACTGCTGTAGCTACAGCATGAAGCAGACACTCGCGCCCTAACCAAGCCCAGAAAGCACCACGAGGACGGCCAGCACCTGGTTCTGATGTAAAGAAACAGCAACCAACTGAAGGAGCCCTGAAAGCAGGCGAGTTTGTAACTAGAGGGGACACGGTTTAAAACTCGGTATACAGCTCTTACGCCACCTTTCATTTAAGATGTCATTAAAAAGGGGACAAGACAAAAAGCCTCAAAGGCAGCCCTACTGCAACTAAATAAGGTCTCATCAAACCTGAGATGACCAATGCTGGCACTTTCTGGATCTTCCCACATTTCCACAGAACTGTCGTCACCGCCCTCTGGCTAAGAGCGAGTGTAAAATACAACACTATCAAATGCATCCCAGTTTCAGAGCAGTTAAAATGTGAAAAATGGCGCCCGTTAGAATTGTAAAATAGTGTTATCAGTCTCCCGCACGGCATAAAGGTGCCTCAGACACTCAAAAACAGTCCTGCTTTGCCCCCCGAACAAATTCCTCCTGGGTGTCCTTCCCACACTAGGTGAAGGCACGCTGGCTGTGGGGCGGGGCCTGTGAGTCCTGTGTGGTTTGGGTGGGAGAGGGCTCTGTTCTAAGTGTCTGTTTGCCACCACTCTTGGTCCTCCATTTACTGCTTTATAAAATGCCCCCCAAAAAGAAAGCATACAACCAGCACTTACATTTTTGCTAGGGACGCACAGGGGCGTACCCTGTTTCACCTGCCCGGCTTCCACGGTCACTCCAATCACTATTGGATCTCGAGAATTGAAAATAAACTGAGGA